AAAAATAGTTCTAATTCTAAAAATTGTTGTTTTAAAAATTTTGCATGAACTCGGCTTAAACTCGAGTTTGTCTTCTCCATTTAATCATGTCTTCCTCTTGTCTCGTTTAAATTCGTAAAAACTTGAAACTTGAAACTTGATCATCCGTATATGATTGACAAATGTATCTTTTTTTTATTTTGGGTTGTGTTGAATTATATTTTCATATGTATATGACTTTTACGTTTTAGTGCATTTATATATTGATTGAAATTTTTTTAATATTATTTAATTAAATATTAATAAACAATCTTGTTATTGCGATGATCAACGGCCGCCCTAGCTGGCTCAATATCCTGGATCCGCCACTGGCTGTATATAATGTTTATCATTTGTATTTTTGTAAAATATTGTTTTTGGTTATTGAGTTGCTGCTTTCGAGTTTCTTTGGGGTTGGGGTAATTGCAGTGGCTTTTAAATCAGGGGTGGATCATAGGAAACCGCTGGAGTTAGAGGAGGCAAGTAAGGCTGGGCTTGCGCCTGTCGAAGTCGATGAGGATGAAAAGGGAATTAACCCTCACGTTCCACAGTATATATCTTCAGCACCTTGGTATATAAATGAAGAGAGAAGTGTAGGTTACATTTGAAATATGCTGCTTTCTCTGTATGGTTATGTACTTGTGTACCTATTCACGGGTTGTCCAAGCGGGAGATGAGATTTTTTTTTTTTGGAGTTTGAAACATACTAGGAAGTAGAAATGGGATCCTATTGATTCAAAGTCATGGTGCAATTGAGTGCAAAGACTTTTTAGGCTGACAAGTTCAGGAAGGGTGCCGATGAAAAGTCTGAGAAATCCCGCGTTTTTATGTATACTAGTCTATTGCCCGTGCAATGCACGTGTTATATTATTTTGAAGGTAATGTTGACGGTAAGTTTGTATCCATACTTTGCTGTTTAGCAATAGAGATATGTATAAAATAGTCTTAGTTTTCAATAACATCAAAACAAATTAACAATGTTAGATATTTTTTCATAATTTATTTATTTGTTTATTATTGTTATGCAAATGGTTTGTTTTGAAGAGTTGTGTCTGTTGGAAGTTAACAGTTTTTCTCCAAAAAACATACACATTCATTCCAACTGACACTTTTCCCTTTATATATTGAGTATGTTGGCCATTTGCAGGTACAAATGATCTGATCTCCGCGCAGCGCGGACACGGGTCTCCGCGTGTGTGAAGAGATTGTTCACGCACGTGGAGGGGTCTCCGCGCATGAGAAGGGTTCTTCGTGTTGCGCGGAGACATGGATCTTCGCGCATGAGACCCTCCGCCCTGCGTCGTGGTCTTGATCCCACTGCCCTCAAAACCATACCTATAGTAATATATTATCCCAATAATTTTAAATATGGATTGGAATGTGCAATGTGTCTTTCTGAGGTCTCACGAGGGGAAAACAAATCAGATTTTTGCCAAAATGCAAGCATGGGTTTCATATGGATTGCATTGATATGTTATTTCAATCTTATTCTACTTGTCCTCTTTGTCGAGACCTTATTAAGAATGAAAATAAATCATCATCGAATCCTAGTAATCCTAAAGAGACTGTAATTCAAACCCCAATTGAAGAAAATTCAGACCAGCTAACAAGACTCAAGTTAGTACATTTGGACCTTATTTAAAGGATAGTCATCAAGGCATTGCAACTGCTGCTCCGTTTCAACCCACTAGCTCGTCATCATT